CCCTAACACACCCTACCTACATCCATCACACAAATTCCCCCCCCCCCCCCCCCACCACCTACACCCCACATCTCCCACAACCAATCCCCACTAAACATAATAAAACCCTTCAAACAAAATACGTCAACCCATCCACCAAATTAACAAAAAACACACCACATTCCTCTACCATAAAATCAAATATCTCTACCACAAAATATTACTCTATTCCATCACAATCCCACTCATCTATCCTTCCTACCTAAAAAACAATCACAATCTATCATACAAACTCTTCCCTAGTCAATACAACTACCTAACTATAACACTATCTATAAACAATTATCTCTACATACGTACCACCTCATTCCATCCATTTTCTGTTATCATTGTTGCTTCGACCGTCCAGTTCACCCCCTCTAGCATGGGCTCGCACACTCTCGCCATTGTACATCATTCCCATACTCACCCATAAATTTCTTCATTAGAATCCTAACCAACTGAGCCACCAAGGCCCCCCAAAATGTACACAGTGTTCTTGATATGGGTAGAGCACTAATTATTTAACCAGAGTCATTCTGGTGGAAATTTAACTTTTTCCGTCTTTGGCTATCATAAACAATGTCATCGTAAATATCTATTGTACATACTGACTTCTTTATTTCCACAAGGTAAAAAAAAAAAAATCATCTCACCTCTTCGAGTTGGAGCCCCAACGACCGTCCTTATGGTCTAATATAGAAACACTGGGGAAGGAGATGGGAAACCTGCATTCCAGTCCTGCCTCAGCCAACAATGTCTTTGCACTCAGATGCCAATCTCTTCACCTCCCTGCGTGACTCAGGTTCCTTGCTTGTCAGGCAATAATTGTACCTGCTTTAAATTGCCTCACCAGGGCATTCTGAGAATCAAATGAGACGACGTACACGAAAGCTTTTGAGTGCTGTGCTAATACATAAGTCTCTCATCTGGTTATTGGCCAAACCTCAAATTGATTTGTTGCTCTATGAATGTGCCCATAAATACTCAACATGGTGCCTGCTGCACCCAGTGCCCCTTCTAAAGGAAACCTATCCCCCTGCAACCCCCCAACAGCTCCTGCTGTGCCAAGGCTGCTGGGCACTGTGCTGTAAATCCCAGCCTTCTCCAGCCTTCCACCTCTCCACCTCAGGGCTGAACCTGGCTGACCACGCTGGGAGCACCGTAGGCTTCCCAGTGGCTAGAATGAGGAGCTCTGCCTAAGTAGAGACAAACCAAGTCATTCTGACTCTTGCCTTTGCAAAAGTCTCCTAGGAAATCATGCGTGACTAAGATAGCTAGGACAAACAGAAGACAGAAGACACATTAGATGGGCCATTAGAGCTGCAGTTCCGAATAAGCTGAAATTGAGAGGAAGCAGAAACCCCAAATACACTGAAGCTCCGACGTAGGGAGAAAAAGTAGAGGATGCTGGTGAGAAGTGAAAGGACACAGAGAAGCAGAACCCCCAGAAGCAGGTTATAGCAGTGACCAAACAGGTGCAGGTGCACCAGTTCAGCTGCTGAACCCAGCATAGAAAGGCCCCGGTGAGGCGCGGTCATCCGGGTCCCTGTTGGGCTCCCATGTGATCCCGTCTCCTTTGCTCCCTCATAGTGGCTTTACTATATATTTATTTACTATACTATATAGTGGCTTTACTATAACCTGCCTTTCCCTGGGAGGCGAGACCCTCTTCATGCTCCCAGGAGAGCCAAACCAACCCAAGGCTCATGGGATCTTCTCCCCAGCTTCCTGAGAGTCCCCTAAAGGATGGGTGTGTGAGGATCTTACCTTGGGGCAGGAGAAATGAAAGTCCTCGATTTGTTTTGCTTTGGAATATACTGCTTTGCTTAATGAATTAATGTGGTTTCACGGAGGTCGGCCTCCTGGGAAAAGGTCAGGGCGGATGGGGCAAAAAGCAGAAGTGAAGGAAAATGGATACTAACAAGCAGTTGAGATTTTGCTCCTGCATATCCTTCCCTCTTGCCCAAATCCCACCTACCCTTCATGTCACCTCTTCCACTAAACCCTTTCCAGCTGCTCCAGCCATATCAGCCCTGGTCGTCTTGACCACAGTGACTACATTGCCTTATGGGCCCCAACACTTCATCCCGCCCCGTAGCCATACCTTTTACAATATGCCTTTCCAGTTCTTTCCACTAAAAAGGCAGAGAACATTTCTCCATCCTTTGACTTTGGGTTTGGCTATGTGACCACCTTATGTTATTGTCCAAAGCCAATAGTAGAAGACGGATGTGATGGTGTACCAATCCGAAGGTGACTTTTGCTTCTTCATTGCCAAAAAAAAAGAGCATACCCAGACTAACCATGGTTCCCAAGAAGAAAGTGAGGGATGCGTAGAACAAAGTTGCCTTGAACATGCCCCCTAGTTGAGCCCAGCCTACATCAGCCTGAGCTAAATCAATGAGAGGCCTGAGCTAAATCAATGTTTATTGTTTTATACCACTGAGATTCTATGGTTGTTTGATAGACAGGTGATGCAACTACCCGGAGCACTTATTATGCTTTTTAGTACTTGGTGATTTTTAATGACAGTACGTTTTTTGGTCATATATAATTGATTCTTTGGGTTGGTCTCTCCTAGTTAAGACCACTACTAGATTTAACAAATAAAAATATAGGATCCCCAGCTAAACTTGAATTTCAGAAAAACAAGAAAGAGTCTTTTAATAAAAGGGCATCTCATGCAATTTTTAGAACATATTTATACAAAAAAACTATTTAAAATCCAAATGTAAGTGGGCATCCTGTATTTTTCTAGCAATCCTACTTCTAGCACTTGAGGCAGTAGCAACACCTTATATGGTAACTGTGAGACAGTTTCCCTGGTCATTATCATAATGCTGGGAGACAAAAACCATGGTTTTCAAATTGTCAGATTTGCGAGATGGTAGATCTTAAGCACTTTCTTTCTCCAGTGACAAACTGACCCCTTATAATGTTGATGATCATCATCATCATTTACTTACCCCTGTATGGGCAGGTAGTGGGCAAACACACTGTCTTGTTTTCATATAGTGTTGCAGTGGAGCACATTTATAAATGAGGACACTGAGCCTTAGACACGTAAAAGAACTTTCCCTTGGACACACAGCTAGTGAGAGGAGTAAAGCTAAAACTCAAAGGCAATCCTTTCCCTTTCTATAATGCAATTTTGCCTCCAACTACCAAAAATGTTTTTGTTTTTGTTTTTTTGTCATTTTCACAAAAGTGAAGATGGCAAAATATATTTCCCAGCCTCTTGGTTTCTTTTTGGTCCCCCTTAATCCCTTCAATGAATAATGGGGTGTGCTAAGGCTTCCACAACAAAGCACAAAGTACCACAGACTGGTGTGGCTTAAACAACAGAAATGTATTTTCCTACAGTTCTAGAGGCTGGAAGTCCAAGATCAAGGCTTCAGAGGGTTGGTTCCTTCCAAAGGCTATGAGGGAAGAGTCTGTTCCAGCCCTGCGGTGCTTAATTTTGTCTCAACCTGATGGGGCAGCAGGATGCCCAAATTACTTCTCAGTGTGTGTGTGAGGGTATTTCTGGAAGAGACTAGCATTTGAATTGGTGGGCTGAGTAAAGCCAATGACCCCACCCATTGTGGATGAGCATCATGTAATCCTTTGAGGGCCTGGGTAGAACAAAAAGGTGGGAGAGGGCACTTGGGTAGCTAAATTGGTTAAGCATCCGACTAAATTTTGGCTCAGGTCATAATCTCGCAGTCATGGGATCGAGTCCTGCATCAGGCTCTGCACTCATCAGGGAATCTGCTTGAGGGTTCTCTTTCTCCCTCTTCCTCTGTCCCCCACTCTGCTAGTGTGAGCTCTCTCTCAATAAATAAATAAATAAATCTTAAAAAAAATTTTTTTTTTAAATAGGGTGCCTGGGTGGCTCAGTCGGTTGAGCTTCCAACTCTTGATCTTGGCTCAGGTCATGATCTCAGAAGTTGTGGGTTCAAGGTCCACACTGGGCTCAGCACTCAGTGGGGAGTCTGCTTCAGATTCTTCCTGCCTCTCTTCTCTGTCCCCCTCTGCCACTTCCCACTCACACTCGCTAAAATAAATAATAAATAAATAAATAAATAAATAAATAAATAAAATCTTTTTTAAAAAGTTTTCTAAAAAGTGAGGAGCTAAATTGGTTCTCGTGCCTGACTGCTTGAGGTGAGCCATTGGTCTTTTTTCCTGGCCATGAACTGGGACTTAACCCAACTCTTGTCTCTCAGGCCTTTGGACTAGGATTAGAATTTATACCACCAGCTTTCCTGGGACTCCCAGTCATGGACAGCAGGTCATGCCACTTCTCAGTCCTACAATCACATAAGCCAATTCTTTATAATAAATCCTATATATATGTTCTGTTTCTCTGAAGAACACTGACTGATGATATCAAGACCTCTCGCCTTGGTTTGTAGGTGGTCATCTTCTCCCTTAGGTTCATACCATCTTCCTCTGTGCATGTCCGTGCCCAGATTTCCTCTTCTTATAAGGACACCAGTCATATTGGATTAGAACCTACCCTAAATGTCCTTATTTTAACTTAATCACTCCTAGAAAGGCTCTATCTCTAAATAAGGTCACATTCTAAGGTACTGGGGGGTCAAGGCTTCAACACATGAATTTGGGAGGGCACACGGTTCAGCCTGTTATAACAGGGTTTGTGGAGCTAACTATAGCTCATCCCAATACAATTTACCTTTAGGAGAGGGACCCAAAGGAGGAGATTTCAAACTATGGAACTCTGGATTTCAAGGGCTGGAATTCTAGTTTCTAAAGCAGTCCCTAGGGTGCCAAAGGCCCATCCTGCAGTTCCTAATAATGGACCTCAAAGGTGAGTCACACCCTCTTTCAAAGGGGCCCTAGCAACTAGTAGAATGTGGGTTATTATGAGGACAGGGGATTGTGATGGTGGCTCAGCTGTACAATCTGGTGAGACCAAATGTTAGTAGCTCAAAAGATGTCCTTCGGCCCCAATTGGCAGCACCGTGATTTTCAGGATGGCAGCGGAGGACAGGGAGATGATGGAAGCCCGGGGAGCAGGAGAAAGCTGCCCAACTTTCCCCAAGGTTGTGCCCGATGACCCCATGTCTGAAGGGAAATCAAGAGCCTCTTTGGTAAGGGGGTGGTGGTGCCCTGTTTCACTGCCCCAGCCTGTCCCTCCATGGGGAGGAGAGTGCCATGGGGTCACACCCCAGGTAGCTGAGTGCTAGGAGATCCCAGAGAGCTGCCGAGAAGAGTAAGTGAGGTGCACCCCACCCCATAATGGCCCCAGCTCTCACCAGGGACCAGGTGGCCCTAGATAAGACTGTGAAGTCACTTGAGGCTGGCCTGGGTCTCTCCCATCTCACCTCCCCACTCAGGGCCCTTTCCTCCCTCTGTGAAGGTCAGAGCCCTGTGGAGGTCCCCTATGTTTGGGTTCCTCCCTCTGGAGCCCCAGGAGGGTGGGTGTCTGACTGGTCTCCAAGTCACACAGAGTGGGGCTGGGCAGGTAACCAGGAAGGCAGACTTCCACCTCAACCCCACAGGGCTCCCCTTGCAGCTTGGGGGCCCCATCGCCTCACGTGGGTGTGCTCCCCACTTCCCTGTAACCCCGGGTGAGCACACCTCCACTTACATCCCCGGCTAGGTCCTCACGGGTCACAGCCTTCTTTTATCCATCCCACCCAGTCCTCTGGGGCCTGTGGCCGTGGAGGTGCCCGGGGTGGCATGGGGGCGCCCCCAGGCCCACTCCGCCCCGTCCCCTGAAGCGCCCCGTCACCGCTCCAGGAGGCAGAGTCCCCGAAGCCAGACTCTTCCTACAACCACCTGGAGGAGATGGAAGCTTGCGAAGACGGAGGCTGCCCGGGGCCCCCCAAGTCACCGTCCTCTAAGGCAGGCCACACCACCAAGGGCCAGGCGGGCGACGGACCCGGCCTCGGGGAGCTGGCCCCCGCCCCGGCCGTCCCCGAGCCCCCGGGGACCGAGCGCAACACCGAGATGGAGCTGGAGAAGGTGCGCATGGAGTTCGAGCTCACCCGGCTCCGCTACCTGCACGAGGAGAACGAGCGCCAGCGGCAGCACGAAGAGGTGATGGAGCAGCTGCAGCAGCAGGCCACGCCCCGCCTGGTAGGTGCCCTGGAAGGTGCCCAGTCGGTGCTGGCCCGAGGCCTGGGGGCTGACCCGCAGGGTGGGGGACCCTCGCTGCCCAGCGTGGGGAGCCCAGCTGACCTGCTTCCCCTGCACCCCCCACCCCCCTCGCCCTCCACGCCCCTCCACCCCCACCCCTCTCTACCCCCCCACCCTCTACCCTCTACCCCCCTCCACCCCCCACCCCCTCTACCCCCGACCCTCTACCCTCTGCCCCCCTCCACCCCCCACCCTCTACCCTCCAACCCCCCCACCCTCCACCCCCACCCCCACCACCCCACCCCCGTCAGAGGTGGGCTGCTGGCTGCCCCAGAGCTTCCCCAATGAGCTGAGATCAACTCTTTAAGGAGAGTTGACCCCGGGAGGGGCCCCAGAGCCACCTGTCCCCCACTCTGCCCTTGGCTTTCCATCTCGGGGACAGTCTTCGGCCTTTCCTCCCTGACTGGATTGCGGCCACTCTCTATCCCTCTGCATCTCCTTAGGAGGTGGGAGCCCCACTGCAGCCCGCGCAGTGGTTTTCCATACAACCCTCACCTCCCCTTATCAGAGCTGCATTTGTTCTGTGGGTCGGATTGCTCTGCCTGTTGCCAACTAAAGATGTTAGGCTTCTTTGGCCAAGAAATGGACCACTCTCCCCTAATCCGTTTTAGGTGAGGAAAAGAAAGGTACTTTTGGTCAAATGGGACGGAAAGGGCTTAGTACTGGGTGCCTGGGCCACCGTAAATCCTAAATAACGAAAGCTGCAATTGTTGAAAGCATGTTGCCTGGGCTTTAAAATCAGTCCTGGGTTAAAACTCTGGCTCTACCATGTGTAAAGCGTGTGATGTTGGGCAAGTTACGAATCCTCCTTGAGCCTTGGTTTGCTCCTCTAGAAAGTAGTCCCTACCTCGTTAGGGTCGCACTGAGGAGTAAAGCAGAGCATGCATGTGAGGCACTTTGCAATGAGCCTGGCACATTAGGTAAGCACTCAATAAATGTTAGCTATTACCATTTTTATGTACTCATGCAATTCACTTCTTGACCTAAATGCAACAATGTGCATTCATCACTTTTCAATTTTATTGGGATGTAATGTATTAGCTATGCTTCCCAGCTCTGAGTCATCCTCACTTCTGAGAAACTTGCCTTCTGTCTTTCTCCAAGTCATTGCTATAATTGTTGAGGAGGATATGACCTAAAGTAAATACCACTAAAAGATCTCCCTACAGGTTAGCCATGTTCCATTAATCAGCACCCTTGAGTTACATTTTATCCAGCTCACATTTCTCTACCTTGTCCAAAAAACTATCTTGAGACACACTATCAAATGGTTTCCCAGAATTAAGATATTACACTACCTATAGCATTTCCCTAATTGACTGGTCCGGTTTTTTTGTTTTGTTTTGTTTCTTTAAGAAAAAGAGGTTGGTTTTGCATGATTTGTTTTCAATGGACACATGCTGGGTTTTAACAATTTTCTTTTTCCTGCTCACAAAATACTTGCTTAGTTATACACTGAATGGTTTTGCTGAGCCAAGTCAAGCTTATTGAACTGGGATCTCCAGAATCCATCTTTCTTCCCTTCCTTTTAAAAATCTAGAAAATATTTGCTTGTTTCTAAGACCCTGGCACATTTCCTGAGATCTTTGATTTCTCACAAATAAGTTCCATTTCCAGGGTTGGGGTTTTTATTCTCAGTATCGTGGAGTAAAATGTGTCACAAGTTAGAGCCTGAAACTACTTAAGGCACCTGTGGTTAGTGTAGCATACCTTTGCTCTCTGCCTCCTTCTAACCATATTTGTTTTCCCTTTTTTAGTTTGAAAATCTTACCCTTGCTGGATGAGCTGGAAGCCCTTGGTATATAGTCTTATCTGCTGTCTGTCTTCTGCTCAAAAGAGCAGCATTTCAGACTCAAAACACATGCTGGCTGCTTTTGGCGGTAGGAAGTCCCCGGACCCAGAGCGGAGGCGGGTCTGCAGACCACCTGTGCAGGCACCCTGTGCACCTCCCCTCCCACTAGAACACTGGGTTTCTTCCTCTGGTCCTTCAACCTGCCTTGCTATAGTCACTTTAGAAATGGCATCACTGGAGTCCGTTTTCTGCCCCGTTGGGTTTCTTGATTTGCCCTCACGTTTTAGGTGGTTGCCCCAAGAGTGGTATGTCCACAACCCCAGGCTTCCGTCATCGCTTACGAAAGTGTTTTGTGTTTTGTGCATTACTGGCAGGTGGAAAGCGGACTTGATTTTTTTTTTATTGGAGTTCGATTTGCCAACATATAGCATATCACCCAGTGCTCATCCCATCAGGTGCCTCCCTCAGTGCCTGTCACCCAGTCACCCCAACCCCCCGCCTACCTCTCCTTCCACTACCCCTTGTTCATTTCCCAGAGTTAGAAGTCTCTCATGTTCCTTCACCCTCTCTGATATGTCCCACTCATTTTCTCTCCTTTCCCCTTTATTCCCTTTCACTATTTTTTATATTCCCCAAATGAATGAGACCATATAATGTTTGTGCTTCTCCGATTGACTTACTTCACTCAGCACAATACCCTCCAGTTCCATCCTCGTTGAAGCAAATGGTGGGTATTTGTCGTTTCTAATGGCTGAGGAATATTCCATTGTATACATAAACCACATCTTCTTTATCCATTCATCTTTCGATGGACACCGAGGCTCCTTCCACAGTTTGGCTATTGCGGACATTGCTGCACAATGGGGTGCAGGTGTCCCGGCGTTTCACTGCATCTGTATCTTTGGGGTAAATCCCCAGCAGTGCAATTGCTGGGTCGTAGGGCAGATCTATCTTTAACTCTTTGAGGAACCTCCACTCAGTTCTCCAGAGTGGCTGCACCAGTTCACATTCCCACCAACAGTGCAAGAGGGTTCCCCTTTCTCCGCATCCTCTCCAACATTTGTTGTTTCCCGTCGTGTTAATTTTCCCCATTCTCACTGGGGTGAGGTGGTATCTCATTGTGGTTTTGATTTGTATTTCCCTGATGGCCAGTGATGCGGAGCATTTTCTCATGTGCTTATTGGCCATGTGTGTGTCTTCTTTGGTGGAATTTCTGTTCATGTCTTCTGCCCATTTCATGATTAGATTGTTTGTTTCTTTGCTGTTGAGTTTAGTAAGTTCTTTATAGATCTTGGACACTAGCCCTTTATCCTATACATCATTTGTGAATACCTTCTCCCATTCTGTAGGTTGTCTTTTAGTTTTGTTGACTGTTTCTTTTGCTGTGCAGAAGCTTTTTATCTTGATGAAGTCCCAATAGTTCACTTTTGCTTTTGTTTCTCTTGCCTTCATAGCTTTATCTTGCAAGAAGTTGCTGTGGCCAAGTTCAAAAAGGGTGTTGCCTGTGTTCTCTAGGATTTTGATGGATTCTTGTATCACATTTAGATCTTTCATCCATTTTGAGTGTATGTTTGTGTCTGACATAAGAGAATGGTCTAGTTTCATTCTTCTGCACGTGGTTGTCCAATGTTCCCAGCACCATGTATTGAAGAGACTGTCCTTTTTCCAGTGGATAGTCTTTCCTGCTTTGTCAATATTAGTTGACCATAGAGTTGAGGGCCCATTTCTGGGTTCTCTATTCTGTTCCATTGATCTGTGTGTCAGCTGACTTGATTTTTGAGCCTCCTCCCCACTCTCTCCTTTTTGGCATGAATGGGTGGGTAGATAGATTCCATTGTATTGAAAACTACCTCTGTGAGTATGTTTCTAGCCAGCTTAGGGCACCACGGTCCCTGCCATCTGCCTGCTTACAAAAAGCATGGCATGATTTTAAAAGATATTTTAAAGAATAAACCATGGGTGATGGCTTCTTAACTACAGATCAAAATAGTTATATCAGCTTTTGCTATACTTATATGTTGGTGCTTTCTGCAGTTAAAATGGGGACTGGTTGGACCTCAAGTATATAGATTCCAGAAATGAGCAATACACAGGCAGACTCAGCCAGACAACTCAAGCTGCTTTCCCCATGCTCAATACTGTGAGTTTAGGGAGGCCCTATCTCTCTTACCACCTGTCCTCCAGGGGGACCCAACCTTAGGTCGATAGACCACAAACTGACCCTGTGAGACCTATGCCACCAGAAACAGTCAGAAACAGTCACTCGTGCCCAAGGGACGCTCTCTCATTGTGCCGCTGTCAGGAAAACAAGGCTGAGTGTCCGGGCAAGATATCCAGAGAACATTCCTAAGATCTGGCGTCCAGATCTGGGGATCTCAGAGTCAGACAGAGACTGCCACCTGTGTGGCTCAGAGAAAGGAAGGTGTGACCTGGCGCCTGGCTCGGGAGGAACAAGGGCAAACTGAAGAAGTGCAAACCCACCAGTTCCCTGCACGTGCCAGTGACCTCACTGGGAATGTTTCAGTTCTTGGCCACTCTTCCTCTTATAGTCTGTGAGGGGGGCCACGGTTCCCCTTTCCTCAGGTGAGGAAGACCACCTGCCCAAGGTCACTTTCCCCAGGGGACAAGAGCAGGACTGACCCCCAGACCTGCCTGGTACCCAAGCCTGGTTTGGCCAGCTACACTCTCTTCTTTCCCCCACAGTTCTCGGGAGGCCTCCAGGACCTCCTGCTCCCCCAGAACCAGTTTGCCATGTTCCTGTACTGCTTCATCTTTATACACATAATCTATGTCACCAAGGAGATGATCTTCTTTCTCTTCTCCAAGCACTACCTGTTCTGCATCGCGGCCATTTTGCTCTGTTTGATTAAAACGTTATGGTCATACTTGCAGGTGCTTTTGCTCCCTCCATCACAGGGAACCTCCGTGCCTGTGGGTTACTAGGCCATGACCCAAGTCAGCCTCCGGCCTCCCTTCCTCCTCCTTCCCTCACATGAGCCTCCCCACTGTCAGAACTCCCTGTTAGGAAAGGCTCTGCTGTCAACCATTTACACTTTAGTGTGAAGAAATGTGTTCGGGCCTTGTATGAAGCCTGAGTTCTCAGTGCAGAGGAAGATGCTTTGTGCCCTCTGAGGGGCGGATTTCAGAAGTTACCAAGTTAGGGAGGTTTCTAGAGGGAGAAGGGGTTTAGGGTCTCTAGGGAATCACAGAAGTCACACCATGACCAGGTTGGTTTGGGATCCACCACATCCACTCACTTCCACAGATCTTGTCTGAGGTGAGGGTAGGCTCGGGGGTAACCCCCCAAAGATGTGCACATCCCCATGCCCAGAACCTATGAATACATCATCTTACATAGCAAGAGAGACCTGGAGAGGTGATTAAATTAAAGACCTTACAATGGGGAGATGAGCCTGGGTTCCACCACAGGCCCAATGTCATCACAAGGGTTTTTACAAGAGGGAGGGAGAGGGCGAGAGTCAGAGAAGGCAGGGGATGTGATCATGGAAGCAGAATTTAGAATGATCCAAGAAACACAGGTAGCCTTTAGAAAAGGCACAGAAATGAAATTTCTCCAAAAGCCTCCAGAAGGAATTGGGCTCCGGCCAACCCATGCAGACAGGTGGCCACCAGAACTGTAAGAAACTAAATCTGAGTTGCTTTAAGTCACTAAGTGTACAGTACTGCATTGAAGCAGTAATAGGAAAATCATACAGGAGCCAAGACTCCCCAGGCTCCTCCCAGCTCTGCAAATATGTCAGGATAGCAGCACCAGACCATGGACGAGAGTCCATTTAGCCCTGGGTCTGAGCAGGACTATAATGGTCAGTTACGGAGGCTAGAAGCCTACCCCCAGGCAACAGGCAGCTCAAAGAGAGCTGCTAACACTCCAGGGAGCCCAGGACAGACCTACCAGAATCGGACAGGCAAAGGCTAGCCCGACCACTGAGCAGTACAAGCCCAAGGGAGGTGAGGCAAAGCCCCAGCCTGCTCCCAGGGCGGTGGGGAAGGAGGGCTCAAAAGCTTGGCTGGGCCCAGAGCAAGACAGCAGGGTTGCATTAGTGCAAAGTAGGAGGAGGGAAAAAGAAACCAGACCACACAGCCCAACCCTCAGTTCCCAAATGCACACACACACACACACACACATACACACACACACACACACACACACACACACGCCCCTGCTAGCAGGTCATCAGCTGCTCTGACCCCACCCGCCGTGCCCAGGAGGGAGGACTGGTGCCTGGCTCTGACACAGGAGGCCCTGGGGATAATGCAGCAAAGCATTGAGGGTGAACACAGTTGTGTGATCAGGCAAGTCTGAAATGCCCCCTCCTTTTCTGGGGCATAGAGCTCAGCCTTAAGAGAGACTAAAGAATAAGCTTCTGTCTCTTTGGGCTCTGTGAGAGAGATCCGTGAAAACACATGAAAAGAAGACGACCACCCTGGGATTCAATGTCAATACACATTCTCATGCCACGGGAAGTCTATGGTGGCTTCTCATTTTCTGCCCAATTCGGTGCATCCACCCCCATTTATAGCTGCATGTGACTGATATTTACCTGAAAGTCACAGAACTGTCATTTCTCATTAAACTTTGAACGATAGTTTTTACTATGGGTCCTTTCTCACAGGCATTGTATTTGATCTGGGTTCCTGGGGTAGGATTGAGGTAAGAGGAGGAGGAAATCAGTTTATCAAAAAAGATTAAGGCCCAGTATTTGACTTGTTATAGCAGAAGGATTTGGGAGTTTATAAAAAATACCAAGTGTTATAAAGCCGTTAAGTTCATCACCCTATTGCCAGGTAAACTGGACTTAGATACATCCATTTTCCTTACAAATCTTCAGAGAAAAACTTAATTTCCTTGAACAGGTAAGTTAGCATCTCATAAGTTAACATCACATCCTTAGCAATGGGCATGACATCTCCCTCCTGTTCCTCCTACTGTGATTGAAGACTGAAGCCAAGAGCCAAACTATGCCCTCTGGGAAAATGGGAACAGCTCATGGTCACTCCCTAAACTTGGCTAAGTTCTCTTGGTTCAAATTCAGAGCAGAAAATCAGAAAGGAGAGGGAGCAAGGTGGAGAGATTTGCACAGGATAGGAAGAGGGCATAGCCGAGGGTTACCAAGAAGACAATAAGTCAACATCCAAGCACTTCCAATGTGCCAGGCACTTTCCTACATGCTTTACGGAGACTATCTTCACCAAAACCCTGGGAGGAAGATATGCTATTATCTCCATGTCACAATGAGGATACCGAGGCTCAGAGAGGTTAAATGACTTACCCAAGATCATCTTGGATTCTAAGTCTGACTCCCAAACACAAGAGCTTTCTACACGACCATGCCCCCAAGCTGCTGCCTTGAAGGATTTCACAGCCCTGCTGGCAAGATGAGCTTAACATACATGAAAATGTTAGGACACTACCAGCACACAGACCTTAGTGATGAAGGAAATAAAAGGAGAGGTCCCTGGAGCTCAGGATGATAGGAAGACTTCTCAAAGACCATGTAAGCCTAGGGCAGGTGGAGAGAAGGAGAGGAAATTCACACAACTAAGATCAGGGTTGGAGTGTATACACAGTATGCCGGAGAAAGAGAAGGCTCATCCCTGCTCCAAAAAATGGTGTAAAGGGTAACAGGCCTGGAAGATAGATATGGGGCCAAATTTTATAGTCTTGAATATTGCTCTGAGGAATATGAACTTAATCCCTTGGGACATGGAATCCCTGAAGACTGTAGAGTGAGATAGTAACTCCTTCCAAAAAAAGGAAAAAAATACCTCCTTTCCTCCTCTCTCCTGGGGACCTTGTTCTTGCCTTAACAACCTCCTTCCATTTTCAATCTGGGAACATTCTAAGGTCTTGAGTGTGAGGAATGTATTCAGCTGGAAAAGAAACCCAACCACAGTGGCTTAAGCAGATAGAGGTCTATGTTTCTCACATTCTAAGAAGTCCCAGGTAAGGCAGTCCATGACTGGTGAAATTGCTCTAGGAAATCAGAGAGGATCTAGGCTGCTTTTTGCTCCACCATCCTTAACTTGACTTTTATCCTCCTCACCCATGGCCTTCAGCCTCATGATCTTAAAGTGGCTGCTGTAGGGGCACCTGGGTGTCTCAGTCAGTTAAGCATCTGCTTTCAGCTCAAGTCATGATCCCACTGTCCTGGAGTCAAGCCCAACACTGGGCTTCCTGTTCTTCCTGTTCAGCAGGGAGTCTGCTGCTCTCTCTGCCTCTGTTCCCTGCCCCCCCCCACTTGGCCTGCCTCTCTCAAATAAATAAAATCTTTAAAAAGGGGGGGGGGCTTCTGGAGCTCTAGGTATCAAACCCACAACTCTAGATCAGAAAAAAGAACGGGAAAAAGCATCTTTTATAAGCTTTCTAGAAAGACTCACCTAGAGACTTCTGCTTATATCTCCTTGGTCAGATTGGGTCATGTAGCTGCAGGGCATCTGAGGTGGTAAGATTTTCACCTGGACACTGTCGCGGCCTTGAACAAAATTAGGATTCTGACAGTGTGGGGAAAGAGAGCGATGGATATTAAATAAGCAAACAACTCTATCTACCATACCCTGCTTTCTTAGACCTAGCTCCCGTGCCCCCAGGCCTGCGCCCATCTTGGTGGAAGTGAGAGAGACATGGAGTAGGGCACAGTTAGAGCCAATCCAGGCCCAGCCCACTGTGACATTGATGCCCTAAGGTTTCATTCACGTACCACAGCAGGAAGGTCATCATTTCCTCTGGACACACAACTGGAACAGCTGTGCCTTCATCCTGCTGACCTCTGCCTGAGGCCCCAGGACCTTCCACATCCATGGCAGCTGCCCTGCCTGGGGCCGGGGACCAGACAGGGACACCCCCTGTGCTGAGTGCCCTCAGCGAAGCTGCAAGAGGCAAGTTTGCTCCTGGAGTCTCTCCCCCGTCCTGAGTCCCAGATTCCAAAAAACTGGGCCCAGTGCCTCCCCACCCCCTCACACACATGCGCCCATCTCTCTCTGGTCAGCTCACTCACACCAAGCTGCTAAAGACTGAGGATGTAAGAGATCCTGCAGGTTTGTTTCAAAGATCCACTCAGCTTAAGTCCCAACAATCAAACACTAATAGTAAAGTTTCAGGCAGGTTTAGGGAGGGAAAGATGAAAGAATCTTTCCTGCTCCCCAGATGGAATCACACAGGTTGTAACCCCAAGCTCTAGGACAATACTAGAGTCCTGGAAACTGCTGGAACCCGCAGGAGGGAAGAGCGGACAGACTTGGTTCCAAAGGCCACTTCCCAGTCCTGTCTGCAATTCCATTTTCGCAGGTGACTACAGACAAGTGGGTTAAGGTTTTCAGGCTTCGTTAGGATGACCTGTAAATTACCTAAACTCTAACTCAGTGGGGTTTGGAAAAAAAAAAAAGACCAAAGCCTAGGATCTGACTTCAGAAATTCTGATTTAATTGATCTGATCTGGGTTCAGTAGCTTCAAAGGTGCCCGAGCTGATTGTAAAGGGCAGCTGCATTACAAAACCTAAATCCTCGCTACGCTTGATCTGAAGACCAGCAGCTTCCCCGTTGCCTGGGGCATCTTAGAAATGCAGCATCCCAGGCCCCGCCAGCCCCAGCCCACTGATAGCGCCACATTTGACAACATCCCCAGTGACTCTTGGGAGAAGCACTACTCTAGGCGATGTGATTCAATTCATCCCGTTGCTCTGTTATAAAGATCCTGCTCTGGGCCTGGAGGATCTTCCAGTGGGGGCTGTGGAAGCCGGATGGCAAGCAGAGAGAGGACAACTGTGCACGGAGCCTCTAGAAGTGCTGTAGAAGCCTCCCCCAGCATCTGGCACAGCCCCTCCTCCCTCTGTGCCTTCAGGAGCCCTTGCTCTAGGCTTC